GAAAAAAAAAGAAAGAAAGAAATTATCTATGTTATTTTCTGAATTCTTCAGATAGTATTCTATATTATTGCTGTGAGATTTCTGTGCTTTTAAAAATATCTGTTTCAAACTTAATTTTCTATAGTTTTATAGTCAGATTTATATGTAAATATATATTTTTTAATCTGTTTAGAACTTTGTTATGTAACCTTGTTGAAATCAAATTGGGATGCTATGAGTTAGAGCCAAATAAAAGCCAGTCTGCTGAGGATTATCTTAAATCCTTTATGGAGACAGAGGTGAAGCCCTTATGGCCCAAGGGCTGGATGCAAGCAAGGTAAAAATGTTACTTCCTGTATTTTATTTTACTTTCTTATTATTGCTATTATTAATGATACACACACACACATACATATACGACATTGATTTTGCTAAGAACCTAATGTGTTCAACATCCTATATAGTCCTATATAGTCATCAAGATGATCTCTCCTTTGAAAACTTCACATTTAGTCATGTGGACATAGAGATATAGAGATAGGCATAAAGGTGATTTTTTTACTGACCACTTTTTCTTTTTTGCACCTGAATTTGCCAGTAGAGAAAAAGGAAAGAGGAAAGATGGTTATTAACTTTAGGAGGGGAACTTCTTATCAGTAATGTGAAGATAAGGAACTGCATACTGGATTAGAGCATAGAAAAAGAGACATAACTTTAGGTTCTGTTGAAAATAGTGTAGAGTGTTATCTCAGTTTACCAAGAGTAGCACTATTTAATGTCTCAAGAGTTAAGTAAAGAGAGTAAAAATTAACAACTTGGCTATCTTAACCCATCATCTTAAAGTGCTCCATCTTAAATCAACAGAAAAGATCTGTTGATCTGTTAAAAGATTTAAATAAATTCAGGTGATACATAAAGCTCTCCATAAAATAGATTATGAGTATACTGTACCATTACAGCTTTTGCTTGGTAAATAAGCAAGTACCTATTGAAAATAAAATGATTTAAAAAATAAACAAGACTATCATCATGTTATCTACTATATAAAATAATTGTGTCCTTTTAATTTTTCCAGAATGCTTTTTAAGGAAAGCCGGAGTGTACATAATCATCTTACTTCTGCTCCGTGAGTAAATGCAGACTCCAGATTTCATTTATCTTTCATCACATTATGTGCTTTAGTAAACAGAAGTATCATTTATTAATTGCTAGTTGAAATAGGACTTAAAGGTACGTTTGTTTTTTAAAAAGTAAAAAAGAAACAGCTAGCAAAAAATGTACATTTAGGCAATCTCTATTTTACTGCCATCTTTTAAAAAAGAACTATTTTGACTGTTTGGGGCTCAGAATACATTTATCCGTTGAAATACTTCTTCGGCTACTCTCCAAAAATGTACTGGATGCATAATGTGGCACATATTGGCCTGGGATTCTGGTAGAGGGGAGCCATGGAAGCAGGAGGGTTCAGGGGTTTTCTTTGTTCCTGGGCCTTCTACCCTCCAGTCTTTTTATGTCCTTTTTCTCCACCTGTTCGTGGCCGTCTACATAGGTAACCTACAGCTTTGTGCTGCCCTAAGCTTACTTGGAAAGTTCCGTACCTATCCTGCCTTGCCCTGCAGAGTGTTTTATTCCACAAAAATAACCTACCCTTTATGTCCTTCCTTCTGTTCACAACTGGATTTTTTT